ATCAGGCCAAAGAGACGTAAAGACAAGGAGTTTTGCCAGAAATAAAGAGGCACCTTTTGGCATGATGAAAGTATTATCCTCAAGAAGGCAAAACAGTACTACACTGCATGCATCTAATAACAGAGCTTCAAACACCAGAAAAATTGATTGAAGAAAGAAATAGGCAAATCCAGAAATGTAGGCCTATATTTTAACAGTAGTTCCTCAATAATCAACAGAATAAGTGGCATACCCACTGGTACAGCATTTGAAAATAAGTAACAGCATCCACCAGTCTGACAGTCAAGGAACTCAGTCCCTAACAATCTGCCTCAGTTACCTCCTTTTCAAGACCACATGAGGACAATCATTAAAACAGAGGATATGCAGGCTCATAAAACACATCTCAAAATATTTCAAAGAACTAAAGGAATACAGAGTATATATTCTGAAGATCAAGGCATTTAATTTAAAATCAGTAAGCAAAAGATATTTAGAAAACTGAGAAATTAGGCAACATACTTCTCTATTATGTGTGGATCAAAAAAGAAAAAAATTACATGAGAAATAAAAAACACATTCCCAAATGGTGAGTTTTGAAAACACGAGAGAGAGGAGTACCTGGGATTCAGAAAAGCAGTCCTAGGGAAGTAGATAGTTTTAGATAATTATATCAGAAAAGAAGAAAAATGTAACAGCAATGATATGTCATCTCACCTCATAATACAAGATAATAAACAGAAGTTCCATGCACCTTGAGTAGAAGACAGGAAATAAAGGAGACCAGAGTAGAAGCATAGGCAAAACATGAAGCATGGGTATTAAAAAGCATTGCAAGCTTTTTCCTGTTGTAGAATTTGTGCTTCCTGGTTCCTATGAAGTTTGGCCATGTCAGACTACAGTTCCTGTGCTTAAGGAAAATGTATCAGGGACTATTTCTACTGAACCTGAAACTATGACTACCACCTGATCATTTGAGCTCCTCAAATCAATGAATTAGTCACGAGATAAAAGTTACAAAGCTAGAGGGAGAAGCTGTCACTGATTGCCATGAGGGGTACAATATTGCTTCACAATGGAGTAAGTAAGGGATCTAGCCTGAACCCCAGCAGTTCCTTGGAGCATCTTTTGGTTTCTTCTGAGCCTAGTGACAAAGGTAAACAGAAGTCCCAGAGACACAGCCTTGACAAGGACAAAGTGGACCCCTCTGTGAAGACCTGGGTTGCCCTGCCAGGAAAGAAATGTAGGTCCATCAAAGAGCTGCCTGAGGAGAGGGCAATTCAGATTGGTTGTCAGAGGAGAGAGAGATGATGAATGACAATATGGCCTCAAGACCAGAGTTTAAAGCTTGTTCTACTATATTTTTATAATTATTTATGGAGTTTTTGGCTAGTGACCACCATGAAACAACTTGAGGATAGATGAGACCTAAAAGTAAAGGGATCGGGGGAAAATATACATATATATGGTAATTGTATGTAGTAATTGTAATGAAGTTAAAAAAAACAAAAACAAAAAAACATCAACTAACAACTATAAACCAGAGACAGTAAACGGGGGAAGAGAGGGGAACAGGATCAAAACTGGGATGGGAAGAGCACACGGGACTGGTGATGGCACACTGGTGAAGTGGTGGTGGGAAGTCCAGGGGGATTCAAGGAGATTACAACTGAGATGAAAAAATGTACAAAATGAATAATGTAACATATAACATATATATATGTTATATGTTACATTATATATATAATATGTTACATATATAATATATTACATATAATATGTTACATAATATATATATAATTTTAAAAAGTAGAGGAGAGCATGTTGAAGTGGTGGGGGGATGGGACAGCTAAAACCCGCTGTGGGCTATTTCACTGTCTCTCCCCAGTGCCTCAGAGCCCAGCCACTGTCTCTCCCTCTGGCTCAGAGCCAGAGGGCACTGGTCCGTTTTGCATAAACCCTGTTTCTCTTGCACACCTCTTTCTCTTGTCCTGTTCTTCTCTGATGTGGTTGCATCCGACCAGCATGGGACCCACTGGCACTCCAGGCAGGTGTGATTTGGAAGTAAGGGGGATCCTGATGCTTGAGGGCCAGCTGTGAACAATGGGATCAGGAACCCATGGACAAGGTCACTTTCATTCCCCTGATGAACGATTCGGAGGCACATTTCTTAAAACTCCTTGAGCAATCCTATGTGATAGATCCTTCATTAAGATGGTCCACTTACTAAAAATCACATTTTTTAAATTAACTTCTTATGTTTCTCTGTTTTACTCCACCTGTCATTCATGCCCCGAGAGATCAAATCCCAAATGAATGACCTCAAACCGGCCTTTGTCTTAGTCTCTGCTTGGAAGACCTGGAGTAGGGAACTGACCTTTTTAACTATTAATTAATTTCCTCTGGCCACCCAGAGTGACATTCATTCTTAACTTTCTTTAGAAACCATTCAATGGAACTGGAAGTTAGTGTGCTTGGATAAGGCAATCCCACTTTGGAGAATTTAAACTGGCAGATTTCCCTAGAAATGACTTCCTTGTTGAGTTCACTGTTAATGGCCCATTTTTGCCCCTAGGTTTTTCAGAAGTTTGAAACAGCACACCCACTGCCTTTGAAGCAAACAAGCAAAGCAAAAATAAAGCTAATCTTTCACATTAACCCTTCTTAGAAAGTGTTTGGTGAATTTCCAGGGCTTGGTAAATAACCAGAAGAGGAAAAGTATTCCTCCTTCCTTTTCAGCTAGTGACATTTATTTTCTTTGCTATTTTACAGCCATGAAATCTTGTTTTCATCCCTTTAAATGACAAAAAAAAAAACTATTTTCTTTGGCACAGTCCCAGTGTACAGCAACAGTTAAACTTTCTGCTATGTGAAAGAGTCTTATTTGTTTAGAAGTTACTCAAAAGGCCGTGAGAGCAGGCGACCTGGATTATAGGAAGTAGCCTCAGGAAACTCAGACTATTTTCTTTCTTGTATTTTTGCCAGGATGCTGATTTTTCCCTGGCCAATAGTAATTTCTAATAAGGTCAAGATTTATCCTAGTTGGAATTTCATAGGCTATCACCCTCATTGCTTTTTTTTTTTTTTTTTTAAATAAGCAACTCCTTTCCCTATGAGGCCCGAAGAGAGAAGCATTGAGAGGGAAATGAAACATTCAACTAAAGTTTCTCCATGATAAGTTGGTCTTGGTAATATTCCCAGTTCACTTTTGGGAGAGTGGATTCCCTAACAGAATTAAAGGATAGATTATGTACAGGTATAGCCTTCATACATGGAGACCCAGCATATGTTAAAAACAGAACTTCAAGATATCCTTATTTGAAAATAAGGATACTCAAACAGGAATTTGTAGGTTGATATCTAGGCCTTTTTTTTAAAAAAAAAAAAAAAAAAAAGGTAACTCCCAACATTCAACGATGCTGTGCTTTCAAAGCCACAAAAGGTTAGAAATCCAGATTCTCAAACTGGAATGTTTGCAGGATTCTGTAATAATAACCCTTGGTTAGGTGGGGAATGGGGTTTAGAAAACAGCAAGTTGAATCTGCTTTAATTTTACTTATCTGTGTTATCAAGATTAAGAAGTTACCTAAGTATCATAAATAATATGTAACAACCAACACTCAAAAGGAAGCACATCCTGATATTTACCTCATCTTTATGAACCTCATGCATGATAATTAGGAAAACATCCAGAAAGTTGGAAACATTTACACTGGACTTTAAAACTGTTGTTTACTTGGAGAATTCTCTTATTGAAACCTACTTACCAAATGCACCAGCATTCTATTGTATCAGAACAAGTTCCTGCCTTCCAGACTCTTCTATTAAAAACCATTTCTTTATTTACTTCTAGAGCAATAGCTAGATCCTGCCATGTCAGTCCCAAGGGTCCCGTTCCTCAAATCACCTGCAAGATTGCTTATTATATTCTGCTACTCCAGTGTATACATATCATATAGTCATTTTTAGAGACTGACTACAATAATATTTTTTTTTCTCATTTCACTGACATGATCGTACTTTGGTAATTAAAACTTAACTAAAGCTGAAATTATTATTTTTAAAAATATTGTTGATTGGGCCCTCCCTGGTGGCGCAGTGGGTTAAAGCACTGCACTGAGAAAATAAAGCCACTTCTGCATGAGTTCGATCCCCGCCTGCCCTGGAGGTGACCAAATGGCGCGGCAGACCTCTCCTGACCCGCCCGCTGCTCCCCTCAGCAGTGTACTTCGTCGATCTGCCTGTTCTGCTTCCCGCTCTGTCTCTGGTGAATCCTCTCACCCTCCGTATCTCTGGCCTGTACCCCAATTCTGTACGAATAAATAAATAAATCTTTAAAAAAAATACTGTTAAGTCAAATAGCTATTTAATACCAAATTCAGCTAAACTATTTTTTAATGTATGAGCAAAGTAGTTGACTGTTTAATAGAACTTTTCAGTTTTTTTTAATATTTATTTTATTTATGTATACAGAACTGGGGTACAGGTCAAAGGTGTAGGGGTGGTGAGAGGATTCTACAGATGAGAGTGGGAAACAGAACAGGCAGATTGAGGAAGTACACTGCTAAGGGGAGCAGTCAGCAAGTCAGGAGAGGTCTGCCACACCATGTTAGTCAGCTCCCTTGTGGGTGGTAGAACTCATGTTGAAGCACCTGTGGCGAGCTGTGCTGCATTTTAACCTGTTGCACTACCAGGGAGAGCCCAGAATGTTTCAGTTTTTAAATTGGACATATTGACATTACATATAGATGCAAAACCAGAACAGGACAAATTTCGTATCGCTCTTTGACAACTGTAAAAATTGTGAGTTTCATTCTTTTTTTTAAGCACTAAATGAATGTTAATATTTTGTGTATAACAAAACACATCTCTTCTGCTTTCAATTTACTTTTTGGGATTATACAGAATATTCCCTTAGTCTTTTATATTGTTAAGTTTATTCTTTTCCCACTTACCCTTCTATTTTACTGTTTCACATTTTCAGCATTTGAAAAAATAAAATAGAAAAGCCACAAACTTACCATTTCCACCAAGGATAAATATAAGAACATTCCAGCAGTCACTGCTAATATCCAGTTTTGAACACATGGATCAGTTGATACTGAGAGGTGAATATACAGGCCAATGAAGGCAGCTAGAGCACTTTATCAGAATGGCAATTCCTGAGAAATGGCAGTCTTAATAGAAGTCCAAACTCAAGAACACAGCAAAATCTCTTGATATTTAAGGGAAAAAGAAATTATAATTACTTAACTGGTGGCGCCTTTGGTAGAGTAATGTGCAATTAGGTTTTTTCAAATTTTTTTTTTTTGGTTTTTTCAAATTTTAACAACTGACACAAATTTCATAAATAAGTTGAATGATTAGTTAGTAAAACACTTCCCTATATTTCTCGAGGAATCATAGGCAATTTATTATATTCTTATCAGTAGTTACATCTCAAGAGTTCTATTGCTTTACTACTCTTTAGTTCCTGGTGCCTTACAATACTTTCAATTTAGATAAATGCAAAATAAACATGACATAAGGACATTACTTAATTTGCAAGAAGCATTGTGTGGAAAGCGAAACAACTTAAGATAGAAGAATTATTATACTGGCTGATTAGAAAATTAAAGTTCCCTTTGGAATGTCATATTGTCTTAATGAGTTTAGAAAAATGACTTATTTTTCTCTATATCTCTCCTCCAAAAGAATGGCCCATTATCCAAGAACCACTATTTCTAGTTTTGGGAATCTAGAAGAGGCTGAAATTAAAAACATGAACCCATTTCCCAGTTCTACTGGATGAGGAACATGTCTTCAAATCTCTTTGCTGATTTGCCACAGACTGTCACATTCCGTGCAGTATAATTATAGTAGCTACAAGCAGAACCACAGGGGGACACACTCAGACCAGGTACATTTTTTTTTTAATTTATTTATTTATTTGTGCATACAGAACTGGGGTACAGGCCAGAGGCTCAGGGGTGATGAGAGGCTTCACCAGAGACAGAGTGGGGAGCAGAACAGGCAGATCTACGAAGTACACTGCTGAAGGGAGCAGTGGGCGGGTCAGGAGAGGTCTGCCACGCCATGTGGTCACCTCCAGGGCAGGCGGGAATCGAACTCATGCGGAAGTGGCTTCAGATTCTCAGTGCTGTGCTTTAACCCGCTGCGCCACCAGGGAGGGCCAGACCAGGTACATTTTAATGGCTTTAGGTAGGACTTTGGTTACACCAGCCTGAGAGGGATGGGTCAATAATAAGTCAGTGACAGATTTTGAATAATAGGCAATGAATAATGGAGGACCAGGAGTGGCCAGGGGGCAATAGGAGCCTGAAAGTAGGAGCAGAATGAGTGAGAAAGCAAAATGGCCTCTTACCAGGGCACGTGTGTGCCGGGGGCCAACCTCTACTCTTTTTTGAGGCGGCTTCAGAAAGGCCTATTCAAGCTCTTCCTGGTTCCTGGGAGGCAGGATTTGAATTACAGGGCTATTAAGATTATCAAGAAAAGGAGTCTTATGTGCATCTGCTAAAATACGGCTGTCATTTCAATTTTATGCCTGACTTTAAACATTTTGTATATAAATCAGGTTGATGAAACCATGGTTTGGTTTTAATTTAAATGTTATTATATCTCATTGGCTTGTGTGCTGACATAATGGGCAAAGTTCCCCTCTTAATGTTTTCCCATATTTAATATGCAGATTTTAAAGCCTTTTTAAAGATCTTTAAAAAGAAGTTTCTATGAATGACTTTTTTTCCCCCACACAGAACTCTCCAGAAGTCAGAGTCTCTTCTGACCTTAAGAAATGAGTTAAATTGAAGTGTACCCTGAGGTAGAGTCTTCCCCCCCGCCCTAGTTTTCTTCTTATGGTGAAAGTAAATTGTGGATAGAGATTATTCCTGTTTCAGCCATATGCTAGAAAAAGGAACCTAGTCAGCCACATCTAGAGATAAGACTTTGCCAAATGACAGTGATTCTACAGTCACACTTAGCCATTTCATGTGGGATTTCAGACACAAGATAGCAAGTGTTGTGGTCACACCCAACTCAGATGAAGACGAGAAAGCTGTGCCTATCACTAGACCATCTGTGAAATTATGCAGACTGTCTCCGACCAGTACCATTATTGCTAATAAGCTAATGGTTTTGTCTAAAGAACCAGAGATGTGTAAAGCATTAACAGATCACAGCTCATGAAATCCCTCAAATATTACCAACTTTCCTATTCACCCATGACATTCTTAAATTTCTTCAAATTTATAACCCAACTTTGTTTTAGCCTTCAAAATAAGTCAGGAACAGAGATCAAAGCAGGGAACCGACATATGGTGCTGTTTTCTAGTGGATCTAACTAATATGAGATCAAATTATACACTGGCACCCACTAGTCTATCACCTTGTATCAGTAGGCCAAAAAAGAAAATAAAAATAATATTGTTATAACCTCCCAAATACCACTGATGACCTTTCCATGTGTATCTTTTGTGAGGCATTTAAAAATACTTTAAGTACATCCCTGTGGAGTTAAAATGACTCCACATAAAATAAAATGGAGCCTATTTTCCAAACTCTCCCCTCTGAGTCAGACTGGCCCCAGTGTCATTCTGAGGAAGAGTGCTTTCTGCTATTTCGTGACCAATGAGTTTCCTTTCTGGTTGATGCTAATGACTCCTCACCCCCACCAAAGTGCCTCAATGACTCTCTCGTGTGACATGACAGAATTCCTACCAATTCTGCTTGCCCCAAAGTTAGCTTTGAAACAACAACTTAATGTCTTATCTTTCTGAAAATAACTTCCTGTCCTAGACCAACTAGAGAGTAAACAAAATAAAAAGAGAAAGTTGTTCTGTGGGATTCTAATACATAAAATATATTCTCTGATTAGTGAGAATCAATGAAAGAATTCAGATCATAATGGGTTTAATTAATGAAATAATTTATAGCACAATGGGGTCGAATTTTTCAATGAACAGAATTTCTGTTTTCAAAAACCTAAAATAGTATAATCCAATTATTGCACTGAAGGACTAATAATTAATGAATATAAAAGATATTTCAGCGATAACACTACTCTGACGGTAAACTACTTAACTACACCATTTGCTAAGAACAACCATTGAAATCAACAGGCAGTCTCTGAAACTTCATTCATGACTTAGTTGATATCTGTTGAGTGTCAGGCATATGTAGTAGCTGCTACTGTTAGAACTGAACACCGTGTTTTAAAAACTGCACAATAACTAACCAGAGAGAGGTTACCTCGGGGTTTCTGTTATGTAATCTAAGACTACAAAGAGACCACCGTGGTTTGACTCGTTCCATATCCTACACCATAAAATAAGTAAGTTCAGTGAATGCTGAAACAGTTTGCCTGTCACCAGGAAACCGTGTGTTGACTGCATCACAAAGATGCCCCAGCCTTCTACAAGTCAGGCTATATTTAGAACTATCACTGTGCAACTGACATATCCTCTTCGTGGTTCACTACTTCATTTTATTCCTTAGTTTAAAAGAAAAGCATATTCAGGCAGCAGTCAGATGAACACAGAATAAATATTGAATTAATGAATTCAGGGAATTCCTATTGGCATTGCCTGGAAACTCAGAATCTAATAATGCTACCAGGTCTCTTAGCTATTCCTGCCAATTTTCAGGAATAAAGTTCTTTTGTGAAACTAAAATAAAATAATTTAAAGTAATACATTAGACAACATTATAGTATGAAAATAAATTGTGATTCCCATAAGCTTATATGTAGTTTTTATATTGATAGAATACATTCAATTGGATTTGTTTTTACCTAGTTTTGTTGTCTATTATTTTATTCTCTCTGATTGTAGGTTACTAGAGGTCATATCATGAACATGTAACAAACCACAAGGCAAATACATATATTTGCATGTGAGCCACAAGGAACATATTATACATGTTGTTTAAAATAATTTAAACAATATTTGGTGAAAGATAAGACAAGTATACACTGTTAACTTAATGTACTTATTATAGAATTATCCATAACATTTTATCTTTCCTTATGTACCTAGAAGCCATATTGAGTTCCACATTTCAGACTTATCAGAGATTTTCTGAGATGAAACATCGGCTACACCTTGTATCATTTTGCTTTTTGTTTATTTAAATCAGAATGTGGATAGCATTTTCACATCCTGTCTTTGAAACACAAGCTAAGTTCTACCAATGAGACAATATGAAACAAGTAATCAAATATTTGAAGCTAATTCAATATGTCCCTGGCAAAAGGGCAGCTGAATAATCGAATTTGGATTTGTTCACTATTCATTCTGTACGCCAACTCTGATATCTGAAGTGGAAATATACGAAGCCTACAAAGTACTTTAACAAGGCTGTTGTTACTCCCTGATCTAGCTTCTGTTCGATGCGTTGTTTCCTTTCTTTTTTTTTATCAAGAACACATAAAATGTCTGGTGTAGGCTGACTAGTGTCAGGCATCCCAACCACTTCTAAAACTAAATACTACTCACAATATCCTTAAAGCTGAATCAGAAACACTGTATTTTGAATCAAATAAATTATGGAACTTAATACAGCTAATACAGTTAGAATAGTGATTTTTAAAATCATATTTGATTTTATTATTATTTATAGCCCCAAACTCATTATGAACTATAGATAAATGCATGCACAATGTCTGAATCGTGACTTGATGCAAACATGGAATGTAAGAAAACATAAATGCACACATGAATGAGTGATCACAAAGAATTTGGTGGTATATTAGCATTTCTTTAGTTCCTCTATGCTGGAGCTCACTAGCTATGTAATCCTGGCAAGTGACTTAACCTCTTTAACAGCTAGTTTTTTTTTTTTTCCTTTGTATAATTCCTTATCAAATTGAAAGAGTTTTAAATGTGATAATCCATGTCAAGTGTTTAGCACTATGCCTGGCATATAATAATAAGTGCCCAATAAATGGTAGCTATTCTCACTATTGGGTAACTCCCTTATTGTGGTAGAATGTGACTAACTAATCATGACACTGTAACATTTAAAATAATAAGAAATTTTGTCACAATATGGTAAGTCGAAGAGAGGGAGAAATGGGGCAAAGATTCTGGGACAAAGCTATAAAAATAGATTTTAAAAATTTCAGGGGGTTATTTAAAAAATATTAACCAAAAGGAAATAAAATGCTATCCAAAAGTGGTAACTTAAATTCAGGATTAGGCAAAATCATAGAAAATAAAAGGTTGGATGAAAATTCATAAACAAAAGAGTTATAGAATAATGTATGAGTCAGGAAGTATCACTGTCTCAAAGATGTCATAAATGATACAATTTAGTAGACTGTGATGGTAAAGAAAACAACCAAGGAAGTGTCTAGACTTCATAGAGAAATGCAAATTTCACTCATCATATAAGGAGGACTTTAAAGGAGTCTCGATAGTCACACATGTATTTCTTTATAATGGAAATTTTCAGAGGATAGGCTTTAAACATTTTTTTTAAAGATTTATTTATTTATGCATGCAGAGCTGGGGTACAGGCCAGAGGCTCAGGGGCGGTGAGAGGCTCCACCAGAGACAGTGGGGAACAGAACAGGCAGATCAACGAAGTACACTGCTGAGGGGAGCAGCGGGTGGGTCAGGAGAGGTCTGCCACGCCATGTGGTCATCTCCGGGGGCAGGTGAGAATCGAACTCATGGGAATCGAACTCATGCGGAAGTGGCTTTAGATTCTCAGTGCTGTGCTTTAACCCGCTACACCACCAGGGAGGGCCAGGCTTTAAACAGTTGAGGGAAATATTGTTAAAGAATGGTGTCAAGATGATATCAACATATAGTATGTTTGAAAGATTGATAGGAATAATTCTTTACCAAACATTTTTTTACAAAGGATTTCATAATGAATGGATTACCCCAAATTAATCTATATGGCATGAAAATATTTATTTTACAGTATACAAAATCTTTTACAGTGGTACTTTCTATATTGAAATTTTACCTTTTTTAATAGGTACTCACTTTTTCTATAAGGAGCCGTCATACTGCCTATATAGGAATCTCAGCTGCCTGTGAATCTTCTGGGTCTTTCTATTTAAATAAAAAATAACTGATGAAAGGTAAGCAATAGTCATCATTTTGTTGAAAATGAAACATCTAAAGAGTTATGTTGATATTTTTAAAGACATTTTAATACTCTAGTGTATATTAGAATTCAGAATTTCATAGACAAACATAAAAGGCAGAGTTGAAGGTCTATAAACATACTGTCTGCACTATCTACAGTTAGATGAAAATAGCATTCTTTTACAGACAGAGTCTTCCATGAGAGCTAGAGGCTACAGAGACAGTCTGTAAATTCAGATCCTTAAATTACACAAGCCTTTATGAAACTCAAAGCTGTAGATAAAAACAATTTGGCACTTCTCCCTTATGGTGGATTGTGGATCAAGGATTTGATTTCTGACTTTAAAGCAGATCAGTAATGGAGAAGAAAACTATGCAAACCTAACAAGTCATTTCATTCTTTGTAATGTAATGTTCTGTTTTTGTTGTATTGCCAGTTAGTAAAAGAGTTCTGCTGATTAAGAAAGTAAATCAACAGACATAAAAAGCTAAACATAATAACTTAAAACTTTTTTGTTCTTTCATATGATAGAGAAGTAAAATTTTGAAATTGAATTGTGTGAGCTAGATTATATGATTGTATTTTACAATTGACTCATGGCTTAATTTCAGGAAAGTCACTTCTGCCTGTTTCTGATTCGTGTTATATTCCCTGAAAAGATTATTGGGGTATTTTGTTTGTTTTTGACCTGGCTATTGAACATGTCCTTTTAAAAACATTCATATAATTCTGTCATCCAAAATTGTAGAAACTTTGAGAGAGATAGAATCTTTTTTAAAATGTAAATCAGAGAAAGTAAGTTCACCTGTTAGAATAAACAGCAGCTATTTGAAAGATGTAATGATAACCTTTTTTTTGAAGCATGTCTAAGAAGTAAGGCAGGCCTATAGGCCTAGAGCATACAGGGTTAGTAGAAGGCAGCCCTTCTTAAAATGGTAGACTGAAAAATGAAAATGTGATTTTTTTCCACTACATCAAAAATATGATTATAACCACAATGGTCTATAGGTCTATTAAAAGGTAAGAGTTCCAATACTTATTCCAAGATCTTTCTTCCAAAGAACTAAATATTATAACATTATGTGAAGGAATTTAGCAGCCAACATCCAAGATGCCTTGCTGATTGGAAAGAATTGTAAGTTCTTCTCCTTCCTCAAAAAAAAAAAAAAAAAAGGAAATTTAACCCAATAAACCCAATAAATAATATTGAAAGTTTATATTATTTCTTTTCTGTTTTATGTTGATTCATAGCTTAAATAATAAAAGGAATGGTGAACATATTATTAATGAATTAGCATATTCAAGTAGTTCAAAACTCATTCAGTTAGCATCACAGAATTGTTTACATGGATCTTAGAGTTCCGGACCCTTCAATCAAACAGAAGGAATAAATTTAACATTAAAGTGATTTTTAGAACTAATCTCAGCCTCAAGTTATTTTCTTTCAAACCACATGTGAAATATCTAAGCAATAAACACAAGGAAGCTTTTAAAATCATTTTAAAAAGAACATTTTTGTTCATATCACTGAGTTAGCTCCAGCTTTGCAGTCTACTGCCAGACTTCTATTTTGTTGTGCTAATATCTCAGGAATAACTCACTTATCTCTACTTAGTTCAGAATCTGTCTTTGAACTCACCCACCAAGTTCATGTTTAGAGGAAGAACTTTTCTAACTACCACATATTACCTTCATAGTTCCCTGACCCTTAACTTGGGACTTTAATAACTATAGCGTAAACCTGATTGGAACGTATGTTTGGAGAATCACATGGAAGATTATCACGGAAAATCAGTGTGACAGAAGGCAATTTCTATGAGACATCTCACTAGGCAGAATCAGTTCCCTTCTGCATTGTGAAATGAAAACCCCACTCTTAGACATACTAATTCCTTGCTCAACACTTATTTGCACCCACCTAGTCATGACTAAGGATTACTCAGAATGGAAAAATTTAAAGGTCAACTGGCTTATGAAATCCTGTAAATAAAACGAGTAAAGAGATGTATATTATGCCAGACTGATCCATACATGTTTTTAAAGTGGTGCATTTGGAAATGTTCTTAACTCTTTAAATCAGGCATCAAATGCTAGGCACAGTTTTCCAAACAGTATTTATAATAGCTAAGTAAAGACAAATCAAGAGTGGATTCTACAATACTTACCTATTCTACTGATTGTCATCTGTTCGGCAAGGAATAAAAGAAGGTAATGACATTAGTAGAATCAATAACCAATATACCAGTTGGACAGATGAAGCAGATTTACCTATCTGATTTGTCACTTACCTCTGAGTTGAGAACAAGATGTTGGGAATGTCCCATGTGACCTACCACCAATGATATGGCCTGCTGGAGAAGGATGGTTTAAAATTAGTGTGGAAACCAGAAAAACACAAAGGCAGGCTTTGTCAGTTTCATGCTTCTTTTTAACATTTTGGTAATTGGCTAAGGTAGTTAAAAAGTACCAGAGGAATCTCACTGTGATAAATATTTGCTAATAAGTCTAAAGCATCAAACATATTTGTAGTGCTGGAAGAATACAATTTCAAAATTTTAATTATTATTATCAAAGGTTTTAATAGCTTTTACACTGTCAATTGTATTACTGAAAAATTGTATTTACTATAAAACTAAATGTTGAATTCTTTCTGATAGAGATACCTAAAAGATAATTTAAAGTACATTATGCCCTATTACAACTAAATGAAAGCACTTGTAGCTTCTAAAACATTCACATTCATTTTGTAATGTAACATCATAAATCTTGAAATTATGATAGTGAACCCATTTTAAGTTGCCTGACAAATCCAAGGGCAACCTGAATTAATGTAACATTTTAGATACTGAGAATTTATTTCATTTAATTCTACCTGATTACAATTTCTAATTATTACTTATAAATTGAGATGTTAACTTTGTAATTTGATTACTCCAATCCAGAGATACTAGCCTATGGCTTCTACTACTGCTTTTGTATTTACTGAGGTTAGAAGCTCATTTGTGAAGTCTAAATCCCCAAATTTTTAGAGTAAGTATTGAGATTTCAGGTGGCTTTCTTAACTTCTAAATTACTGTAAGATCCATAGCACAGAGCAGCCATATTTGATCAAAACAGAATTTTTTCTTTGTACAGAATTTTGTTTAAAACCTACTAATAAAAAAACTCAAAGCTAAAGATGACAGAATTGTAATGTGAATTCTCAGGTACCTACTTCCTACATTCTACAATCGACATTTTACTGTAACTATTTTATTTCATATCTACCCTTTTATCATCTCTTTCTACTGCATAAAATAAAATTTTGAATAAATTTAGAAGTTAAAACAAACAACAAGCACTGATATTTTAAAAGACTCAAGTGTGCTCTTAACATATTATGTGAAGAGGCAAAAAGCCAGGGAATATAAAGAAAGCCATAGAGAACTACAGAACCCCTCGATTTTGAAAGGAAAAATTTGCTTTATTTTAATCTTCTGGGGTCTTTCATAAGCATTAATCTTTTTAATCACCACATCAAACAGCTAATCTAGTCTTACAGGATAATCTGTAAGAGTAACAAGAAAAAAAATCCATAAATGATAAATCACTGTTTCATGTTTTATTGTATAAATAGAAATTTATCGAATACAGGCACAATGAAGCTGAGGAAATTATTCAAGCTGGGGAAAAAATGTTGTATCACAAATTCTATTACGAATTTGCTTGTTTTTATAATGTTAAATGCCCTTAACACAGAAAATGATGGATAATTTTGTGAATTTTCAGTTTTTGGTTTATTTGGTTTGGGTTAAAAAAGCCAGATTTGAAATTGTGTGTTTGTAAACTAACCATGAAGGTCCAATAACATATTGCAACAAATACATTGCTATGCCAGAAAGAGGTATTTTAAAAATTCATAACCATACTTATAAAGCAGCAGTTAGAATGATCTGTGTATTCCAGAAATTAGAGCCCCAACCTTTATACAGACAACTTCATGCAGATGCCAATTGCTTCACACAAATACTATTGAACTAATGTGAATACGCTGAAGTCAAAGAAAAGATGAAATGTAAAATATACCTTGGTATTTGGAAATACAAGAAGAATAAAGCATTTTTCTATCAAGGAAAATTCATGGATGCCTCCAGTTAATCCCAAACGTTTCCAAATATGATCCTTGCTTTCATGAAAGTGAAAATCCAAGGACTGATGCTTATGTAAACCAAGACCCTACAAGTATGAAAAAGGGGCCCTCCCTGGTGGCACAGCGGGTTAAAGCACTGCACTGAGAAGCTAAAGCCACTTCTCCATGAGTTCTATTCCCGCCACGTGGCATGACAGACCTCTCCTGACCCGCTGGCTGCTCCCCTCAGCAGTGTACTTCGTTGATCTGCCTGTTCTGCTCCCCACTCTGTCTCTAGTGAATCTTCTCACCGCCCCTGCACCTCTGGCCTGTACCCAGTTCTGTATGAATAAATAAATAAATCTTTAAAAAAAAAAAAGTACGATATCCCTTAAAAAAAAAGAGAGAGAGAAAAAGGGAGAGCAACATAAGGAAATAACTTCTAATGACATTTAAATACTTTTTAGTAGGTCCAATATTAAATATATTCAACTTTCACTCTGGGTAACCCTGTGACAACTCCTGAAGTCATTCAAAAACCAGTCTTCTTGTAGACATATGAATGCTTCTACTAATAATTCAATTGTCATATATACTCCTCTCAATCTTTTAGCTGAATTTATTTCCAGGTGTTAACTGAAATTGGTTTGCACAACAAAGCTTAATAAAAATTATGTATTTTAAATAAAGAGCAAAAAAAAAATAGATATAATTCATCTGGGCTTATTCTCCCCATAGCTGACTACAATTTTAAAAAACCTTGATAAATGTTCAGAAAAATAAGAAGTCTACCAGAAGATTTTCCACTGTGGATGTTTGTGTGACCAGCAATGTTGTCAGTTCTCTGGGATACAAAAGGATAATATTAGCTATTTTCCTCTAGTTAACTCATCCCATTGGTTGACCTTGTGATTTCTTGTGATCTTATAAATCATTCCATATCATGTTTCCTCCCCCAAAAAAGGCAGTTTGGGGCTAGTTCAGTGGCTTCCACATTTAGGATATGACCACTAAACTTACAAAAGAGAGAAATAAACTATGCATGCATATCTTATATGTACATGTGTTTATTCACATGTATGCAAATATTTAAGTATATACAAATGTGTGCATATGTGAGTCTGTGTGTTTACATATACACATGTGTACCTTGAATTTATAGACAAAACTACACTTTAACATATGTCAGTAATAGCTTTTGGTAAAGGTATTAAAGGACACCCACCAAATGTTTGTAATTACCATTATTTCACAAAATAGAGAACACCATAATATCAGAAAACAAAACAGAAGAAACCACACAATCTTAGAATAAAAGGAAAATCTTTGAGAAAAATGTAGCCAGTTAAAAAAGAAAATCATGGTGGTGACTTTTCTTACTTTCAGAGCAGAATTCTGAAACACTTGCCCAGATCACATTTCTGGGACCATGGGTTTTCCTATGTTCCACCACACTTATGCCACATGCTTCTTCTTCCCAATAACTTTTGTTCTCTTTTATCAAGTAAAAGAGCACAAAAGCAACCTAAAATCACCTTCTGAAATCCAGCTACTCTCTAAGTTCCCCTGTGTGTCATGTCTCTACAGAGTCAGCTGACAGTTGCGCCCCAACCCCCACTCAAGTTCACCTCTGCTGCCCCAATGGGGGTTAGACTTAGGGACCTTTAAGATTCTTTGCTGCTTCCCAGGATCCTGGGCAGTGAACAACCCTGAAACCACTGCAGTGACCTAGAAAAAGGCCTTGGCCACTGTCTCAAGCCAATAAGCCTTGAAATATTTCCAGAAAATTAGATTACAAGGGAAATTAAAACTAATAATGGTTTGTTTCATTTCTCCAATGCTCAGTTTGTGATTTTCAGAACATCTAATAATTATTGAGCCTCTAAGCAACAAGGGTGAACCAGTAGGAAATTGCCAGAGGCCTGTGGAAAATTTTACCATCTCAGGCTTTGCAAGAGGAGGGATTATTTGGGCATCATCAGTTTCCATCATAAGGGACTTTAGAGGCAAAAGATAACTTCATCCAAAGACCCTGCTGCCTGAATTCTTGCATCCTGGGGACTGGTCTTTTCATTTCTGATAAATAAAAAGGCTCAGAAGATTTCAGCAGAGAACCAAATTCCTGGTGCTGAAATTTTTCTTAAGGGAAATCCAGATGTCTTATGGCAATCATTTTTTTAAATTGAGTTAATATTGGTTTATAACATTATATAGGTTCAGGTCTACAGCATCATAAATCTGTATCTGTGTAAACTACCTTACATTCACCACCAGAAGCCTAGTTTTTATCCAATATCACACAATTGGCCATTTTTACCCAATTTATACCCATTTTACTACTTCCTCCTCCCCTCCCTCTGGTGACTAATATTTTTCTCTTATAGTTTAGCATTTGTTTTTATTTAGTTCATTTGATGTTTGTCTCATAAGGTGTTTGTGTTTCTCTTACTCATCTCACTAAGCATAATACCCCCAAGTTCCTCCAGGTTGTTGCAAATAGTAACATTTCATCTTTTGTGATAGGTGCACAGTATCCGATTGTGCAAATACATCACAGCTCCCTTATGCACTGATCTGTTGATGGACATTTAAGCTGTTTCCAATTCTTGGATATTCCAAGTGAGTCTGCAATGAACATGAAGATGTGCATATCTGCTTCAGATCACTGTTTTCATATTTTTCAGATAAACACCCAGAAATGGGATAGCTTGACCATGTGGTATTTTGACTTTTCATTGTATTCCATAATGGCTACACTAGTTTATATTCCCACCAAAGTGTGCACTCTTGCAGAGAACTTAATTTTGATGGTTCAGATCAAGAGAGGTTAATGATAGTTCTAGTGTGAGCAAGCTCAAGGGTATAAACAAGAGAAGATGAGGCATCCTGAAATGAACAACCCCAGGAAACCATGACCATGTTTCAGGCTGAAGGGGCAAAGGAAAGATGTAATGTTACTGAAGCTCAAAGGGAGTAGAAATTGTAGCACTGCATAGAATCAGCAGCTTTAGAGCCAGTGCCTCAGCAGCAGGAAGCTGGGAAGAAAGCCTCCTTCCTCCCTCCCCTTTCCACCTGTCTTTTCTGCTGTGCCTTCCCACTGGTTGAACCCAATCTGCAAGGGACATGAGACCCTAACAGTACTCAGGGCAGAAGAGGGAGCAGAGAATGCATATGATGAGGGTTGGGGTAATGTCAGACAGCCTGTCCACACTTATTTCTGGATTATTATGTGTCCTGGTATTTTCCTTAACAAGAAGCTATATCTGGTGACCTTTTATTCCAATTTCAAAAATAGGAATACCAACTAATGATTGGTCTTCTCTTTTTTCCTATAAGTGCTTTGGAGAGTAATAGTGGTACAAATCACTGTAAATTTTTTGCATAATCATCTCGAGTGATTTGTACCAGAAATACAAATCAGAAAATAGAGAGTTACCTGAGGAACAAGGTGGAGGAGAGCATCCCCAGAAAGAGTCCCAACAGCCAGGCCCACAGAGAACTGTAAAATCAGCCTGTAGTTCTCCTCACAGCTGTGGAAAAGGATCAGTGTGGTCCCGAGCATGGAGCCCAGGGTCAGCAGAGCCACGGCCACCGTGCTGTAGCCATCTTCTAAGTCAAAGGAGATTAGAAAACCAGTCAGAGCTCATTGCCCTCTGTGAACACCTCAGCTAATGAAAATGCCAGAAGAATCCATATTACCACACAACTTATAGAGATATGAAATTCTTTTAAAAGTATTAGACTGGACTGACCCTCCCTGGTGGTGCAGCAAGTTAAAGCACTGCACTAAGAAGCTAAAGCCACTTCTGTATGAGTTCGATTCCCGCCTGCCCCGGAGGTGACCACATGGTGTGGCAGACCTCTCCTGGCCAGCCCGCTGCTCCCCTCAGCAGTGT